GTAATAAAATGGGGAAATTTATTCACCAAGCACCAAAAGCGTCATTACAAACCCGTAAGGATTTTTCACAGAAAGCCTTAATCGACTGCCTATCTAGCGCGCATAATAAGGAAAAAGATAGTGAATGATTGGCATAAAACTGATCATGAAAAACTTTGCCCTAAGGCATATGGTGACAACCGACATTCGTCAGAAATTTGAAGTTTCTTTGCGCCTGAGTTTTACAACTAGACAAGCATACAAATGGGATCCGGAAATTCATGCATGTAAAAACTTTCCTACGGTACTATGCAGTGTCATTTATCCCTTTCAAGTTAAGGCGACACCTAATGGTTTGGATATCCATAATATTTGTTGGGCGAGCAAACTGGCCGTTAAAAATTAACACTACCAATAACACGCTAACTAATATAGTAGAGGATGTCTTGGAGTAAAACGTCATTGGCTGACGTGAATGGACTTCATGGGCTTGTAAGATTATGTTCACAATTATCGGTCAAAAGGGGTTTGGTTCTAATAATGGTTATGGCAACCACCGTCTCCCTCACCTTCAGTCCCCGACTGATTTTTAGTCTTGACAATAGCCGTGGTTCCCATTCCACCCATGTTTATACCTGGCAGTCTAAATAGTATAGTTTGTGCAAAACAAGTCGCTAATTGCTAATATCTCAGAGTTTTTATCAACTTTTATACTTATTTTTAGTAGATGCTTTGGCATTTGTCATGTTTTCTGTGTTTACGATCTTCTATCACCTTAGTATCAACCAGCCGATAATTTACGCACAAAACTAGGAATTCTTCTTAAACGTTGTTATTCTGGTGTGTAAAAAAACTCTGAATTATGTTAGTTCAGTTCAGTTTATTTTAGGGAAATATAGGCGTTGAACCTTTTAACTCCCCATTTTTTTACAAGGATGCGAACTAAATAAAAAATTTGAAAATGATAACATCAAACAGCTGCAGATTTTCTTCAGATTTTCAAAGTTTTTGAGGCCAGACAGATAAACGAATTGTTCCAAGAGTTAAAAACATGAACGTCACTAAATGTGCTGTACAGTAGCCTGTCTATGGATAGTTGACAGTCGAATCTTTCTGCATTATGAGCCAACTTGTCCACATTTTGTGATATTTTGAAAATAAAGTCACATCAAAGTAGTAGGTATGTCGCGGCTAAAGAATTTGTGTGCAACCAGTCTGACTAGAAAGGACTGTTATGGAGTTCAACATAGGACCCGGGTAAGTGAAACAACCATTTCAAGGATGTTTATAGCGGTAAGTCGGTTATATCTCACTCCCAGAACAGAAACGCTAGATGCTTGAACTGCAATTCTATTGAAAATCGATAATATCAGTCGAGTAGCAAACGACTGCAATGACCAGCTTATCAGGCGAAGAGTAACCGCAAGTAACGACGTGGAAATAGATAAACAAAACGCTTCTTCAAGTGATATGAATTGCATTGCCTGGAGGCATTTAAAATCGATGAAGGAGAATTTTTTCTGACCTGAATTCCGAAAGCAATCGTAGATTCAGCTGCTGGCTGCCCATAGAGCAAGTAGTATAATATCATTACAATCACACAGCACAATTCGGCCACAAAGGCGATAATGACGAGCACTTGGACAGCAACCAACCAATACGGATTGAGCCATTCCCAGATACCAATTTTGAAGAAGAAACGGTCATAAACCCAGTAGCATCCGGTTAATACATTGGCATGGTAGTCCTTTAAGATATAACATGACAACGAATCCTACCTGTGGGTGAATAAATTTGTCAAAGCAAATGGACCATATCCCCATGTGCAGAAAAGAACTGTGCACCAGAGCATAAGATTCAAGCCAATATGGACTGGAGAATGCGAAAAGAAAGAACAAGAAGCCCATGCATGTCGCACCGCACGCTGCGTAAAAGGGCATGTACATTTTTGTCAGTTTATGTTTTTCATCCATTTTTGAAACAAGTATTGTCGAGTCTTTTTACTGAATAAAGAGGAATAGCCTTTCGCAAATTGTTTATAGAGTTTTACGCAAACGTCCTCATGAGAAAATGAGACATCTCATATTTCGTAAATGTTCCTTCAGAATGTAAACAAACTGATATGTTAAAACACATACTGGTTTTAAGCGATTCGCACACGTTTACTGATGTTCAATGCGTAAAACAGCGACTGTGTGCGATTATTCAAACATGAGCGAGTATAAAATATTAAAGTTACTCTGTTTTTGGACTGTCACACGCGCTACGTAGCTGTCGACTCTAAGCTGATGGAGGCAGAATTTCAGATATTATGTGTGGGAAATTTCCACAAAATTATCGGTCACGAAGCTTTGGATACAGTGCAGCTGTTAATCCATATTTTAGTGAGCAATTTTAGCAATGCATATTTGAGTATAGCTATTATTATGCTTCCGAATTTGGTTTGAAATTTTCGAGCTCCGAGCGATTTGCCTTTTTCGAGATTTCCCTCTACTGGGTACTCCGACGGCCTTTTTGGATTAAGGGTCGCCCTGTGTCAGGAATACACGGACCCTCACGGAACTATAACATGGCTGTCATGGACAAAGCCAATCTCATTCGGACCACTTCTCTGTCAACAGCACCACGAGCCTCCCCAGATTCAAGAAGGGCCGAGTCGTTTTCTATTTATTTCATATCGTTGGTCTAGTTAGATGGTTCTTTTCGAACCTTTAAGAGCTTTTCAAACGCATTTGTTAAATAATCCAACAAATGCCCTGAGGAAATTGTGCAGAAAGTTCGCCCGCAGTCGGAATCCTTCTTGAGCACCAGACTGACGAGGCTAGTGTCGTCACGAGGAGACCTTAAACGTGCAGCTGACGAGCAATGGACACTGTATTGCTGAAGTTAGTGTTGATTTTCCTGCTTTTAACTATCCTCCCGCCAAAGGGGCAAACAATTTGGGAAATTTAATGGACGTCAACTACGAAGACGAAACCTGTGCGACATTTCTTAGACTTCTTCAAAAAGTATCAGAGATGCAGGAGGACATGAGATACCTAAAAACAGTGATGGAGATGTTGGCGAAATTTCCTCGCCATTCCTCGATATCGGGACTTCAGAAAATCAGTGGGACATATTCAAGCACAGCCTCACTAACTGTATCAGTCGCTCAATTGGGAGAAAGCTCGTCTAAGGAACTGATCACAACCGAGGACCGGCCTCTAGTGTGAGGAAAGGACTGCAGAAAGGAGTCTCAGAAAACGAATGAGCGCCCCATGGCTTCCTGAAAACACAATGTAGGCCACGGTATCCGTATCAGAGAGCAGAGTCTTCACAAAAGCAAACTACTGCCTCAATGCCAAATAGGTGCGTCGCGTGACCGAGAAGCCTCAGTGGGTGAGAAACTATGCTGTAGCCGTTCCATGACAGTTGTCCCTGGATAAGTCCTTGATGACAACAGACACTGGCAAAATGTAGATTCTGTGCATAAAAACAGACGCCGGGGCTCTCTACCTGACTGCAGTAAAGGCATTTTCATTAAGGGTATGCCTGAGTCAGCAAACAGACATCTTGACCGACATTGAAATATCGCTATAAAGGGAACTCCTGAGCCCACCTCTTAGGTTGCAAAAGAAAGGTTCGAACATGATGTCAACCTCTTTCGAGCACTTTCGAATGCTGTCCTTCAGGATGGGAGATTACCACGCGCAAAACTTTCCGTCTAGAAAACGCAAATGTATTAGGTGGACTGTCATCATTCTTGAAAATAAAGTCAAGGCTCCACAATTCTTACAAGGGGGACCGGCTCTTTGTCATTTGCATAAGGAGGTGTTTTTTGGCCGGATTATGAACCGACAGAAAGACAAACCGAGGGAAGTTTAGGTACAATCGAAAATATGGCTACAAGAGGGTGAGGGCTAAAAATAAGGGAAGGGAAAATCATACAGATCAAACGATCGTTATTGTGGCCAACACCCCTTTTAATTACAGCTGGTCTCTGCCGAGAAGACGGACACTTAAGTTGATGTACTCGAATGTACAGGGCCTATTTCACAAGATGAATGAACTCAAGAATTCGGTCGACGAGCACTTACCAGATACCATCGCCTTGACAGAAACATGGTTAACTGAGTTCGATATAATTCAGCATATATAAAGAATATAGGCAAAGTCTTGGAAAACTCTATTTACAGATAACCCTATGAAAAGTATGCACATTCGTGTCATACCTTTAAGAAAACCGTTTGAAACTTGTAAACTCGGTAATATTATTCAGAGAAATGCCCTCAAAACACGGTGTAAAATGCATGCCCAAGGCGGGATTTGAACCCGGCCCATCGGTCGGACAGACAACCGTCGATACCACTAGGCCACTGACTCGCGCCAACGTTGTCGAAAATAATAATACATATTGCATTACGCATGATATTAATGACTGCAGTGTTGGACGTTCTGCTGTCAGACCAATGCCCGTAAAACGCGCAAAAAGTCTAGTGACGTTGGGGGATGTCACATACGACGATGAAATCTGTACCACATGTTTCGGACTCGTCCATAAGTTTTCAAAAATGGAGGGGGAGTTAAAAGGTCTAAAAATGGAGGTAGAAAAGTTAAGGCAGCTTACTCACCACTTACGTGAACCCTAATAGCAAGCGAGCTCGCCGCGAGCTAGAGTACTCTGGGGGGGTAGTGTGTCTTTAGCCTGCTCGCGATTTGATTGGTTCCCGGGTCGGCTGCGCCGGCGTCGCGAAGGGCGCAAGCGGCCGCGCATACTTGCACTTGATTATCGATTAGCTTCGGTGCCCGATAGTCCTCTGGCTCTTGCCGGTGCCACTTTTTGCTCTCTCACGCTGCACTGCGCACGCCGTGTCTCGCTCTACGCTGACATTGCCTACCCTAACTGTCTTTGACTTTGTGTTCCCTTGTGTTTTCTTTTACTCTCAGTTATGTTTACTCCTGTTACTAGGCGTAAAATACGGCGTCAAGCACGCCGAGAAACTGAAGAAATAATAAGAAGAATCAGCGAAGAGGTGGGGGGAATGCCGTCGTCGGACACATCATCCGATAGTTGGTCTGATAGCGACACGGACGAGTCTTTGTCTTCAACTTCGCTGGCGAACGAACACCCTTCTTCCTCGGAGGGTATACCCTCCTGCCATAGCAGTGTGTCTTCGGACGAAGAAGTTGGTTCAACGGCAGAAGTAGAGGAGGAGGATGCAAGCCCTCGTGAAAGTCTGCGAAAGTGGGCTTTACGATCAAAAATTCCGCATTCTCACTTGAACAATCTGCTGAAGGCCTTGAAACCGTGGTTGCCGGACCTCCCTGCTGACGCACGAACGCTGTTGGGCGCGAAATACGTCTCTGCACCGAGCACGGCAATGGTCAGCGGTGAGTATATGCATTTGGGTCTTGCCACTCAGGTCAACGCGCATTTGCGTAAACTACCTTTGCCCACCTCGGTAGAAGAAGTAGTTGTAAGTCTAGCAATAGATGGTCTTCCAATCCACAGGAAGACGAAGCGTGGATTTTGGCCTATTTTAGGCAGAATTAGGAAGCCAATATTAAGTAAGGTTTTCACAGTAGGTATATACTGTGGAGTTGGTAAGCCTTCGGACGTGCAGGCGTTCTGCAAACCGCTGGTCGACGATTTATTGTCGTTGAATGAACACGGTTTGCGGCTGGATGCCGGTGACAGAACTCTGCGCTTCCGTTTGGCTTCCGTCATATGTGATGCCCCGGCTAGAGCTTTTATTCAGCAGATTAAGAATGTGAATGCTTACTATGGGTGCGAACGATGCTGCGTTAAAGGAGAGTACGTTGATAAGATAGTTTATGATAGTGTCTCCGAACATGCTAGGACAGATGAAGATTTTCATTCCAGGGACGATGACTGTCACCGCATTGGCGTGTCGCCATTGCTGGTGTGTAACGTGGGAATGGTAAGCTCCTTCCCCTTAGATCCTTTACATTTGGTGTACCTAGGTGTAATGAGAAGACTTCTTAACCTTTGGCTGCGCAGCCCTAGGGACAGAGCATATAGGTTGTCAACATCGGATGTATCGACTATAAATACGAACTTGCGCGCGTTGAACTCGTACCTGCCGAGGGAATTTTCGCAGCGCGCTAGGTCATTAAATGACATGGACTCTTGGAAGGGCACAGAACTGCGCCAATTCTTGTTGTACACTGGCGTAGTTGTTCTTCCAGGTGTGCTTCCACGTAAGTATTGGAAGCACTTCTTACTACTTTTCACAGCAGTACGCTGTCTAGTGCGGCCTCGATCATGCAGACAGTGGGTGCCGTTTTGCAGCCGTATATTACGTATGTTTGTAGATAAATTTTCGTCTTTGTACGGTAAGAACGAAATGGTGTACAATGTTCACAGCATTGTGCACTTGGCGGACGATGTAACACGACATGGTCCGTTGGACGCTTTTTCATCGTTCCCTTTCGAAAGTTACCTAGGCAGTTTAAAGCGTCTGCTTAGGAAGCCATCCCAGCCACTGCAACAAGTAGTGCGCACGCCAAAGCGAAAGCGACGGCGACGTGACTACTCACACTCAGAACGTAAACATAGTAAACAAAAGCAGAGGTCGGTGTGGACAATTAAAGGGATCAAAAAAATTTTCCAAGAAATGAGGGAATTGAGAGGAGAAGTGGCGGCCCTTCGTGAGGAAGTTCATTGCCAGAAGGCATCCAACTTCATGCCGTCAGCCGTAGAGACGCCCATTGTGCAACGAGTTAGCACTTTGGGCGGTTACGACGACCTGACGACAGGAGTGTCCGATGCGACTTACCGGCGAAATTTGGTAAACAGTGTTTGTTATTAATAATAAACGGATTCAGGTTGCCTACCTCTCGGCAATGGGGGGTGACACAGTTACCGCCTTTGCAGAACGATTATTTTTCACCCCTTTCTCAGAGGACGTGGCCCAGTTTCTCACTTTTTACGGTAGAAAGGCTGGTACACGGGCCTTCTTTGACAGTCCAGTGTATTCCGTGATCCTGGGTAGGATTTGCAATTAGACCAAATAAGCATTCACATTCTAGAGGTATTCAACGGCTGGAATAAAGACCACCGGTCGGACCGACAGCAATTAGAAAATGCATTCAAAAATGCATATAAGAAGGGGCACGACCGCTATCAAAGGAAGTGCCAAAGGGCTTCCGCCAGTAGGCAATCACAAGGTACGTGTTAATATATTGCTGCTTTTATTATGTAACAAGATTCTTACTATGTTTACTTACCACTGCGAAATCTTTCCCTTTTAGAGCCGTCGACAATTATCGAAGATCCCGCCAATTACAACGGGGAGGGACAGGCTTAATCCTTTATTGAATTAAAACACAGATTTTATGAAACTATTTTTTTACAATATACTTCTGAAAATCCAAACATGCATGTCTTCCTATATATACCTCACGGGGAGAAAAAGGGGTAATTAATGGGATTTGGGCAGTACTAATGAGGGGAACCCCTGGTTGGGTAAGCGCTGGAGCTCGTTTTTTGGAGCTCGGACACAACTCGCAACGAGCTCGCTGGCCCGTTTTCCGGAGCTCATTTCGGGCTCGTTTTCGAGAGCTCCGTACGAGCTCCGATCGACGACCATTTCCGAGCTACAGCAGAGCTCGCGAACCTCGCAAAACGAGCTCCCTGCGAGCTTGTTCAGAGCACATTTTGCTATTAGGGAAGAGAAGAAGCCGACGAATTCGGCAATTCAGAATCCGAAAAAAACATATGCAACCACGGCTTCTTTAGCCATATCAAACGCTGAAACTGACGTCGGTTCGTCCAGGGAACTAGACACAGTTGAATACCAGTCTCTTAGGCGAGAAAAAGACCAGCCGAAGAGAACTCAGATAACAAAGAAACATTACAGAAAAACAACGCGGACCTCTATACGGTCTAAAAAAACGAAGGCCGCCTACGTACACGCAGACCAGCGAAGGAGAACGACCAGGAGGCCTACGAAGGACCGCCAGAGGCTCCCAAATATGTTGAACAATAAAGATATCGGAACACCTTGTGGACCGAATATTCAGGAGGAGGTTTCGAAAGAAACTGAGGTAAACTTTTTCGACGAACACCTCGGAAACACAGAAGGATGGGTTATCAACAGGAAGATAAATGAATCGTACACGGATCTCAGTTTCGTTAGCGCAATAGATAGCTCATCCGAAACCAGCGAAACTAGTAAACTGGAGAAGAACGCTCAGTCACTCAAAAGATGTGTGACAACAGCGAGCACTAGGTTCAGTCGCCAGCAAAATGTAGTTATAAAAGGAGTACCCGAATCAACGGCAGCAGTACCAAAGGAGAGAGTTAAGCATGACTTAGACCTTCTTCAAGTGTATGCGAAAACTTTGTTAAGAGACGATGAGTCACTAAGTGTTCTCAAAGCATTCCGAATAGGGAAGAGTCAGTCAGCATCCGGTTCCAATTCCCGGCCTCGACCCCTAAAAGTCATTTTGGAGACTGAAGCACAGGCCCAGCTTCTGTTACAGAGAAAATCATATCTACGGGGTCAGCATCCTGAAGTTTTTTTTCAGCCGGATTACGAGCCAAAAGAGCGAATGAAAATGAGAGAGCTGATGACGGAGCTGGAAAAGCGGACAAACAGCTGCGAAACACACCTAAAAATCAAGAATGGACAAATAATTCAGGTCAAACGGACATTTCTCTGGCCGAAGGCCGTCATTCTGACAGCCTAACCGATGCAAAGGTGCCAACTCCTGAGGCTGCTCGAACCAGTGGACGCTGTCTAGAAATCTACTACACTAACTGTCAGAGTCTTCTCAACAAGCTAGATGAACTCAGATTACTAGTTTCTGAACAGAAGCCACACATAATTGTCCTAACAGAGACATGGTTGACTGAGGAAATTAGTAGTAGCGAAGTCAGAATTGAAGGCTACCAACTGTTCCGTTGTGACAGATTTCACCGTAGAGGTGGAGGCACAGCTATTTATGTGCCAAATGAAATTGCGTGCTGTCAACGAGAAATATCCGATGGAGCGCCCCGAAATTTTGAAATAATTTCATGCAAGATATGCATCAAACAATTACCGACACTGAACCTGTGTGTTGTCTATAGGCCTCCCAGCTCGAATGAAATCGCCGATATGGAATTACTTAATGTACTGGAGTTGTTATGTAAGCAGGAGAACTTACTACTTCTGGGTGACTTCAACGCTCCAGGAATAGACTGGGACATTCCCCTAACAAACGCCCCGTCCACGTCATTTGACCACAAGCTACTACAACTCTCCCTGAATGAATACCTCATTCAGCACATAAAGTTCGGAACAAGAATGAGAGAAGGACAACGATCTAACTGTTTAGATCTCGTTTTCAGTAAAGAAGAAGGACTCATAAAGGAAGTTAATCCACAACCTCCACTTGGTTTAAGCGATCATATTGCTTTTACCTGCGTGTGCTCTCTCCTATCCAACCAACAACCAAAAATCAAGAGGCGCAGAAATATTTGGAAGGGTGACTTTAACGCAATGAGACGCACTCTTTTGGAGGAAACCTGGTTGGTCAACACAGAAGATTCAGACGAATTTTGACAATACATTCGCGGGATTATGGAGCGTCTGATTGATTCCCATTGTCCAATAAAAATGACATGACCATGTATGCGACCGCCGTGGGTCAATCCGACGACAAAAAAGACCATGAAGAAGAAACAGAGACTCTAGAAAAAGTATTTGCAACTTCGAGATCCAAGGTCACTCGCCGAATATAAAGATCAGCGCAATAAATGCCGCAAAGAAATACGGGTTGCTAGAACTTCTTTCGAGCGTCGACTGGTAGCAGAATCCATTACATGTCCCAAGAAGTTTTACGGGTACATCCGCAGTAGGAGGAAACATAGGGACGAAATTGCGTGTCTAAAGGATAGCCTCGGAAACTTATTAGTTGAAGGGTCACAGAAAGTGCGATTACTGTCTCAGTTTTTTCAATCGGTTTTTACGGAGGAGTCCTTAGAAGACAATCAGCAGTTTGAAATGAACCGAGACAGCCGGGAGCTTCAAATGCGCCAAAATATTGCCGTCATTAAAACCGTCGCCTTTTCCATGGAAGAAGTCAGACGCGTCCTCAGTCAAATAAAACCTGATAAGTCTCCTGGACCCGACGGAATTCCCGGGCTGATTCTTAAGGAGCTATCAAGGGAGCTGTCAAAGCCTCTTTCGACTCTCTTTGAGCTGTCAATGAGAACAGGAAGGCTGCCCTCACAGTGGAAGACAGCTAACCTCGTTCCATTGCATAAGGGAGGTAGCAAGATGACAGCAAGCAGCTTTCGACCTATTAGCTTAACTTGCCTCCCTTGTAAAACGATGGAAGCTATAGTAAAGAACGCTATACAGCAATTTTGTGAAGAAAATAACATCTTGCAGGATTTTCAACATGGCTTCAGGAGAGGACGTTCCTGCCTCTCAAATCTGCTAGCTTGTCTGGAAATCTGGACCAGGGCTCTAGAAGAGGGTTTTGAGGTCGATGTCGTGTACATCGATTTCCGCAAAGCTTTTGACACTGTCCCACACCAACGTCTTCTTCACAAATTGAGCGACATCGGCATCCGGGGAGATCTTCTGAACTGGATTAGGGCGTTTCTGGTTGGTCGGAAACAACGTGTCTGTATCGGGGATGATATGTCAGAATGGGTGAATGTGACCAGTGGTGTGCCGCAAGGCTCAGTTCTGGGACCATTGCTCTTCATCCTTTACGTTAACGACAGCCTTCAGGAACTCGACTGCGGCAAAATAATGTTTGCAGACGACGTTAAGCTCTGGCAAGCCATTAAGGGTCCGAATGATCAGAGAGCCCTTCAAGATAATCTGCACCGACTGCAAGCGTGGTCGAAGAAATGGCTTCTAGATTCCAATGTGGAGAAGTGTGCCGTCCTTCATCTGCGTCCAACCAACTCTCATTCAAATGAGAGTCTGAGGACTTATCACCTGAAAGATATAAGGCTCCCCGCAGAATCTTCACAGAAGGATCTCGGGGTTTGGATACAGAACAACCTGAAACCAACACTGCAGTGTCACGAGGCTGCAAAAAACGCCATGGGAGTGCTGCATGCAATAAAAAGGGCTTTCGTAAAATTTGACCAAGACCTTTTTGGGAGAGTTTACGGCACATTTGTTCGGCCCCACTTAGAATATGGCATACAAGCATGGCGGCCATGGCTGGTAAAGGACCAAGAATGCCTCGAACGGGTACAACGGCGTGCAACAAAGCTGGTAAACGGTCTAAAAAGCCATTCCTACACAGGCAGACTGAATTGCCTTAATATATTCCCTCTGTGTTACAGGCAGCAAAGAGGTGATCTTATCCTCGTCTACAAGATAATACATGGCCTTGAGTATGGACTTAAATTTGAGGACATGTTTCAGTGGCATCTTTCACCCAATCTTTGTGGTCACTCGATGAAGTTACGGACAACAATGTCCAGGCTGAATCTTCGTTCTGAGTTTTTCACGCAGAGGGTAGTGGAGAAATGGAACGATCTCCCTCAGTCAGTCGTGGAGGCTACATCCCTGCAACTCTTCAAGAAACGCTTGGATGATTATTTGTGTCCCCTGTTTTCCCTCGGCGGTCTGAATCTGAACTAATACCCCTGGTCCCCACAAATATTTCCTCTGAGACAATGCTACTCAAATGAACCAAGTATTGTTTTTATAGTGAATATTTTTTGTTCGTGTACAGTTATTTCTAACGAGCTGACATGTAATCAATAGGGTTTTCAAAGGCTTTGCCTATTATCCTTACCAAATAAACTGAAATAAACTGAAATATCTACGAAACATTGATATCGAGTAAATGTTTGACCATCAAGCACAAATTTATGAAATCTTTTCATGTACATCTCAAAGTTTTCCGTCAAGACAAATGAGTTCGGCAAGTTGTCCCATGAGAGAGAGGAAATACTTTTCCTTTTCCAGGAGTCTCTTATAAGGTAAGCAACTTACTCCGCGGACCAGCTTGGTTGCTCTTCTTTGTACGTTCTCCAATTTGGTGTTGGAGTGTGTGGCATCTCTCAGAGGTTATGAATTGTTTAGAAGAGACAGCAAAAGCCGACGAGGAGGGTTCGATATCCGTGTTAGCAACAATTTAATCACAGTTCCTGAGCGATATCACACAACAACGGAAGTGAAATTGTTATCTTTAACTATTCCACTGTATACTCTCGGCCACTGGCGTTTGTAGTTGTACACTGCCCCCCAAACCAGCTTGCTAAGCACGATAGCCCTTTCCTAATGAAACTGAACAGGACCTGCTCGAACAGGGATGTCCGCAATTTTAGGACTTTAACGTTCCCAAG